TAATTTTTTTTTTTTTTTGCAGAAGATTAGAAGTATTTCGCTAAATGTCACAAAAAATAATTTTTTTTGTGAAAAAATTTATGTAACGCATTACAAGTAACATAAGTTATGTAATCAGATTACTTTTTTTCAAGTAACTAGTAAAATAACACACTACTTTTATATTTACAACAAAATATCTGAGTTACTTTTTCAAATAAGTAACGCAAGCTACTTTGTTTCCCATTTACTCACTGACACCTCTCCTGTCCCTGTGCTGAGAGCCTTTACAGTTGCCAAAAATATCACTTTTGGGTTTTTTGTTATTAAAAAAACAAATAAGCAATATGTAATACAAAAGTAATGTAATGCATTACCTTCCACAGAAAAGTAACTAAGTAACAGAATTACATACTTGTTATGGAGTAACACGATATTGTAATGTATAACTTATAAAAGTAACTTTCCCCAACACTGATATTCATGATTAAATATATTTTTTTAAATGTTAAAATTATTTTGTTGTCTGCCTGTGTTGAATTTCATTGAATTGCAATTCAGTAAATTTCTCATTACAATTCATCTTCCTGTGAGGCAAGACCAACTATACAAATTCAATTGAAAGGAAACCAATTCATAAATGGCACTACCATCAGAATCATTAAATGTTGTGGTACATGAATATGGTCATCATTCAGTCACCTGGGCTGGGCTTGCTTATTTGTTTTTTTCGACCACTTCCAGACGTAGTTGAAAATGCATTCACCGGAAAACACCGGATTGCGCTCGTAGTGTGGACGCTCATGCGGTCGAACAGTCACTAAAGACCACCTACTCTCCGCTGACTGAGCTCATTCTCAAACATTATGATGTTCATTTCCTATCCATTAACTGACTAAATTAGAATGTTAAATTTAATTTAAACTAGAGTGGTTAAGTGACCCGTTAAAAATAAATGTTTTTCTTTTCAGAGGTTTAGTTTTGCATGCGCATAAACATCAGGACAAAATGGAGAATAAAATAAATAGGCTGTCTGTTTTGTTTAATTTTTTATGGCCGCATGACGGCTGAAAGTGCACCCTGTTTGCTTTCTTTGTTCTTATTGTTGTCATAAAACTGCACAGGTACACGAAGGTTGAGGATCCAGATGCAGTAATCCACAATCAAAGTCCAAAAACAGGCAAAGGTCATAACACGGGCAATCAGTCCAATCAATAACAACAGGGCAAAAAACACAAAAGGGTACTCCAAAACAGGCAGGGAAACAAAACCAAGAACCAAGACACGAGAAAACCAGGAAACGAGGCTTAAGCCCCGTTCACACCGCCAGCGACACACAGCGACAGAGCGACATAATCCCATTCATTTTCAATGGAGAGCTGGCGACTTCCGGCGACACGAGCGACAGTGACCGTTGGCGACGGAATGTGGGCGTGTCAAGCGATGCGAGTCAAGCGACAAAAGTTCAGAATTCTTCAACTTTATGCAAATAAGCAGCGAATTTCGCGAGCGACAACCAATGGGAGTGAAGTCAGTGGAGAGCACATGATTCATCTGCTGTAGTGGAGTGTTACGGGGGTAACTAGGCAACCAGTAGTGGGAACGCCCACTAGCGACCTCAATTGCCAGCCACAAGCGACAAGCAGCGAAAAAGTCGCTGGCGGTGTGAACGGGGCTTTAGAATTGCAGTACAGACTTAGCAATGAATGACAAAATGAACCAGGCTTATATATGGTGAGCAGACAGGGTTAACAAGACAGGTGCAAACAATGAGTGCTGATGAGTGTGTGCAAAGGATTATGGGGAATGAAGTCCATGTTAGAAAGTGAACAAGGTGGGAGTGCCCTCTGGAGGAGCTCATGGGCACTGCAGCAGGTGATCGTACACATAAATAAAAGTAAACCCTTTGCAGGTTTTCAAAATATGTCCTACTCCTATCTTTATGACCAAAAATGACAGAATATTTTAGTGTTTTCCACTGTGATAAGGACAATATCCATGAACGTGTCGGAGCCTCTCGCGTGCACACAACATATTTTTATAGCATTGCTAGATGTTTATAGGCCTATGTTGTTTATAACGTTTTTTCCTAGCTTGACAGTGTCCATCCACCATTACCTTCATTAAGGAACATGAGGATGAGTAAACAATGACCGTATTTTCAGTATTGTGAAATATTGAGGTGGAAGTGCGTGTGTCATACCTGCCCAGAGTTCAGAAGCTAAGTGTGGACACATGGGTGCCGCCATCACACAGAGCGATGCCAAAGCCTCCTCAAACTCCACGCTGTGCAGAACCACTCGAGATGAGGCTTGCTACGATACCAGAGCAGAACAGATCACGGGAATTCAGAAAGCTCAATCAATCATTTGAATTTCCAAGCACATTATTCTGAAAGTCAGACGGATCATTGATGACTTACTGAGAGTGTGTTGGTCAGGCCCATGAGCCGAGAGATGGCCGCATTAAACAGGAAGTCCTCTGTGAAGTGACCTGTGACCTGTCAACAGAATAACATGGCTTAACTTCATCCAGCAGACTATCAGCTCTCAGTTTCCTTCCAAAAGTAACAAGTTAATCTATTATTAATCAAGGAAGCATTTCATTAATATTTTTTATTCAGCAAGGATGCATTTGATTAAAAGTGACAGTAAAGACATTTGTAATGTTACAAAATTTCAAATAGATGCTGTTCTTTTGAACTTTCTATTCATCTGTGAACAAATATTGTGCAGCACAACTGTTTTCAACACTGATAATAATCAGAAATGTTTCTTGAGCAGCAAATCAGCATATTAGAATGATTTCTGAAGATCATGTGACACTGAAGACTGGAGTAATGATGCTGAAAATACAGCTTGGATCACTGAAATAAATTACAGTTTAAAATATATTAAAATAGAAAACAGTTCTTTTAAATTGTAATAATATTTTTTTACTGTTTTTTTTAATCAAATAAATGCAGACTCGATGAGCATAAGAGACTCTTTTCAAAACATTAAACAAAACTTTCTGAACTGTAGAAAAAAAAAATCTACTTTATCTAATATTTTGTGTGCTATTTTTATGCTTTGTAAGCATGCCAAACTCAATTGGGAGTATCAATTGTGAGTCAATCCTCCGGATGTTGCGGCATGTGTTGCTGTCTATGTACAGCATTTCAGTTCAGTCACTTCGGATGTTTCTTAGAAGAGAGTTGCCTATGTAGGCAGCAGACAGCAGGGCAGCTCACTAGGTTTCAGAGCTTGAATGTCACCAGGTGCCTCATTACTGCCTTACATGAATGAACGGATGAGGATGGAGGTTTATTTGCTCATAGTGTGATCACATGATCTCTGCTGGTAGAAGCTGCTCTTTTTTCGTGGTTTGTGACTAGATCATCACTTTCCAATGGATAGCCAAGATCAGGCAGGCTCCGCATCAGAACGGAAAGAACAACAGCTATTCTCCCGAGGCCCTGACCAAAGGAAGGACACAGCTGATGACAGTGGCTTTTCCCGGCAGAAGATCAAAGATTGTGAGGCTCAGTGGCTATGGATTAGATCAAGTACAGTCCAGGCCTTTTTAAACCAGCGCAAAATCAATCCCGGCCCTAGAGAGGCTATTTACACTTACACAGGCTAAATATACACATTCCACATGTAAGACCACTTTCCCACTGTATGCAGCCTTTTGATAAAGAAATAGGTCTCTCAGAAATGAAAATTATGTAATTTACGCACTCCGTGCATTATACAGTACTGTTTAAAAGACTGAGGTCGGTAAGATTTTAAAAATATTTTTGAAAGAAGTCTCTTATGCTAATCAAGGCTGCATTAGTTTGATCAAACATACAGTAAAAACAGAAATATTGTGAGATACTATTACTATTTAAAAGAACTGTTTTCTGTGTGAATATATTGTAAACTGTAATTTATTTCTGTGAACAAAGCTGGATTTTCAGCATCATTACTCCAGTCTTCAGGGTCACATGATTCTTCAGAAATCATTCTAATATGCTGATTTGCTGCTCAA